ACTATATACATGAAATAAAAATACAAACTGTTATTAACTATTAGTATTTGATCCTGTGCATGTGCACAGATATAAAATACGGTTTGTTTGTATTTATTAATTGGACATGTACTTCTATCATATAAAAATTATTATTTTTTCTTAAGTTATTTTTACAATTCAAAATTAATGGAGATTTAAATTTTATTTTAACCATGCAACGTTTACATTAGTAACATGAATAAAATAATTTATATATTTGTGGCATATATTAAGAAAATTAGCATAAATAAAAAAAATATTGGTGTTTCTGATAAAAAAAAATATGTGTCAATCATATTTTTCTTCCAACAATGCAACCAAATATAGCGGTTACAATTCTGAATGTGCCAATCAACTTTAAGTTCCAACATTAGTCGTTACACATTTGAATATTTTGCTACCAATAATTAATTTAGTAACTGATCCATAAAATAAATAATAAAAATATATATATTAAGGTGTAACAGTTTTAGCAGATTAATAAGTAATTAATTAAAAAAAAATGTAACTTCTTTTTGGAAGAAAATAAAAATAAGTTTTATTAAATATTTTATTAAATGCTCAGCTAGTAATTATATACTAGTACAGAGCCCGTGCGATGCACGGGGTGCACAATTTTAAGGTTATTTATCCAGCCTTATAATTATATAAATAAATAAAAAAATGTACGGGATATATATTGTACGGGACCGGTGCGAGACACGGATAATATTTATTTAGGGAATATTATATTATAAGTTGCAATATTCAATAAAAGTTTTATAGTACGCAGGAAAATTATACAATAAAATAGTATCTGACAAAAAAATCATATATTATTAAACACCTCCTTGTACATAAATATTAAATAATTTATTAGTAAAATAGTGTATAAGTTGATTACAATAACAAAACAACATGCTCACAGGATTAGTAAAAATATTCCATGGATTGAAGCTTTAATGAGATTAAACATGTAAATTAATTAACTTAGATGATTCAAAAGCCTTCCAACATTGTTTTGACTTTAATATATTACAACATGTGTATACTTTAAATATATTAATATATAAAGAACTTTAAACAACATAATTTAAAAAAAAAAAATATTTTAGAGAACTTTAAACAACATATTTACGTCACTCATAAAACATATTATATTTTAATATCATAGTTATAGTATTATTTAAGGAACTTAAAACAACATTGTTAAATATTTACGTCCACCCATAAATTTTTTACAAGTCGAAGGTAATTAATCTCGTTTCTTTTTTGTTTGTTTGTTTGTTCAATTTTTTTGACAAAATTGATATCATGGATAGAAAAATTTAATATTAAATAAATTAATTAAATAATATAAAATAAAATGCTTTAGACATATATAAAATGCAGATAATCCTCTCATACCAAACAACGCGATTCCAAAATTGATTCAGATCCAGCAATCCTATCCAATATTTCATATAAATAGATATTAAATAAAATGCTTTAAACATAAATTAGATAATGAATTTTGAATCTGCCTTTTTTTTAGTATAAATAGGCTTTACGTACATTTTTTTACTTCAGTAAAATCATTGCATAAATTATTTAAGGAAAAAAATCTTTAAGATCATATCCTCTCTATATATAATTCCAGAATGCGCTGAGCTTACGTGGCTGCTTCTGGTGCTTCGGAATCCTACTTGGCGAAGAATCATGTTTCGTAGTTAGGTTTGGACAAATAATATTATATATTAATAATTAACAATCTAGGTTCGGGAGTTCCATAAATATTATTTATCTAACTTAGATATTTTAATATCAATTGTACTAATATAACCCTTTAATTCTTTGTAATTTTAGATAGTGAGTCACTAAGTGACGAATTTATCCCTGACTTTTGATTTATATTCTACAATTAGCTATTGAATTGTAAATGTATTTTAAAAGTTGATAACTTTTGTATTTCTTATCGGTTTTACATATATAATATAT